CTGGCATTTTCTGGAACACTAGATGCTTCCTCATAAAAGCTTCATGGGGTGGGGGGGCGCCTTTTATTACCAGTTGCAATCATTCTAAAACCAAAAGATGATCCGCCCTACCCCTCAAACATGTCTCAAATCCAGCTCAACACCAAGTCCTGCTGATTTTACCTCCTAAATGTCCCCCAATGTCCCCCCCCCATTGTCACTGCAGATGTATACTGAGTCACCAAGCCACTAGCACCTTTAGTCACTTCCTCACAGCTGTTTCTGGCCACCCAGTCCTCCAGGGCATTTTCAGACACAGTTACTGTTTCTTCTTCCTCTTTTTTTTTTTTTTTTTTTTTTGAGACAGGGTTTCACTATATAAACCAGGCTAGGCATGAATTCACAGAGTCACCAACTACTGAGTAGTGGGACTAAAGGTGTGAACCCCTAACCACAGACACTCTCTTATGATGGGACAGTGATTGGAACGCCTTCCCTTGGGCCTGGGAAATCACTAAATGAAGTGCTTGCCGCTCAAGCATGAGGGCCTGAGTTTGATTTCCAGGACTCACATTTAAAGAACCAAACCAAACTGAATAACCAATAAGGGGGCTCCTCTCTGGGAGAGGCTAATTCTCCCTCTCCCAGCAGTCACTGGTTGCCTGTTTTGTTTTGACAGGGGATGGGACCCCATGAAAGTTTTCCTTTTCCACATTGGCATGTCTGTTGCCATTGCCATTGTTTTGGTCTTTTGTGTTCATAATATGTATATATATACACACACATAGTGTGATATACATGTAACAATAATAATCAAAGAAAAGGGGCTATGAGAGAGGGGCCATGGGAGGGGCTGGAGGAGGGTACCTAGAAGGGCCTAAAGGGAGGAAAGAAAAACGGGAAAGTGATCTAATTCTATTTTATTTTTTAAAAAATGGGTGGTGCAGCAGTGCATGCTTGTAATCCCAGCCCTGGGGAGGCAGAGAGGAGCAGATGCCTAGGGATCACTGGCAGCCTGCCTACTCTACTTGTTGAGCTCCAGGCTAGACAGAGACCCTGTGTCAAAGAAAATCAGGTGAATAGTACCTGAGGGACACCACCTGAGGTTCACCCCTGACCTTCACATGCATACACCCACACGAACTCTCCACACAACCTGAGAGACTCCAGTACTACACTCCTTTGTCCTAAGTCCATTGCTCCTGCTTTCTGGTCCTGGCTGGCCTCCTATGCACTGTGATCTCTTCAGAGGCAGACCCCAGCACACACCATTCCTGAGGCCCAGAAGTCCTCTCCTTGTTAGCTGTTACTCATCTTTAAGATCTCAACTCAAATGCTACTTCTTCAAGGTCAGCTTTGGACATGTTGCCCCATTCAAGGGTTTCCTAGAACCTTGAACCGCTTCTTCATAGCACTTAAAAGTGACTGCAGTTGCTCTTTGTGTGTGTGTGTGTGTGTGTGTGTGTGTGTGTGTGTGTGTTTCCCACTGGATAGTGAAAGCCATTTCCTACTTCTCCTCCTGTATTCCCGGTACCTAACGCAGCTTGCTCATGTGACTGAAACACGGCATTTGAACGCACACCCGATACCTGCTCGTCTCCTGAATCTCTGACCACGTGTCTAGTTGTCTGCAGGCAACTCCATCCTTCCAGTCACTCAGTCTGAAACAGTCATCCTTGATTCATTTTTCTTACATCCTAGTACCTAAACACCACCAAAAACTATAAAATCTATCTTCCAAATACACTCAATACCTACACTGTGAACAGCCTAATGGACTGCACTTAAAAGGGAAGAAGTAGAGAGGGAACCTACAGATCAGAAAATTATAGCATAGACCCTGAATTGTAGCATGAATTCTGAATTAAATTATAAAAGACATGACAGTTATGATAATATAGTTTTTTAGAGATTTATTTTGTAATTTTTAGCTATTTGTGTATATGGGACAGGGGCAAGAGAGGGTATGAATACAGGTGCCTGCAGAGGCCGTGGGCTGTGGATGCCCTGTAGCTGAAGTTACAGGAGGTTGTGAGCCGCCTGATGTGGGTTCTGGGTATCAAACTTGGGTCTTCTTCAAGAGCAGTGTGTGCTGCTAACCACTAAGCCATCCCTGTGCGGGGCAGATGAAGTACCGAGTGAATGTACTGTTCACATGAGCACTGCCATGTCAAGGACCCTACTGCCTCAGACCCATGGGAAAGGCAAGACCTTCCGTGGGCAGGCTCCATGGAGTACCAGGGTCTTCTTCTCGTGGTCCATGCTCAGAAAGAGTGTACCACAGCATCCTTCTCCCAGACAACTCCAGGTCAGACTGCTCCCCTACAGAGAGCCCCACTGATAAGCTCACTCACTCACTGTTTGTCTTGTGTTTAATAAGCTCATTTGAGTTTCCAGGCTGCTGCTGGTGCATCAGTTGGTCAAACCCAGTCTTTCTGTATGTGTGTCTGTCATTTCTTTATTCCCTGTTTCCCAAGTCAGGTCACATCCAAAACCATGAAGGTCATGGTAACCTTGCTAGCCCAAGATAATAAAAAAATGTAGCTGATGGAATTTAGTATGAAGTAACGTTTTTGGGGGTGTGATATTTGCAAAGTGCACACGTGTATGTGAATGCATGCATGAGCGTGTGTGCTGAATGTGTGTGTGCATGTATGTGTGCAAGCACACACACACAGGCATGAGTGAATGTACTCCCATGTAGAGGACAGAGGTCTATGTCAGGTGTCTTCATGGTACTCCACTTCCTTTTTTTTGGTTTTTTGAGGCAGGGTTGTCTGTGGTTTTGGAGGCTGCCTTGGAACCAGGCTTGTCTCAAACTCACAGAGAGTGCCTGTGTCTGCCTCCTGAGTGCTGGGATTAAAGGTGTGTGCCACCAACGCCCAGCTTCCACTTCCTTTTTTGAGTCAGGGTCTCTCATTGAACGCACAGCTCACTGATTTGGTTAGGCTGGTTGGGCAGTGAGTCTTGGGTATCAGTTTGTCTCTGCTTCCCTAGAACAGGAACAAGGTGCATGTATGTAGGTTTTTACACAACAAACTCAAGTCGTCAGGATTGAGTGGCAAGCACTTTACTGACACCTATCTCCTGAGCTGGTTACTATTAACTTCAAAACATTTTTTAAAAAGGATTTATTTTTTATTTTATGGATATGACTGTTGTATCTTGGGCACCACCACACGCATTCTTGGAGCCTGAAAAGATGTTAGATCCCCTGGAACTGTAGTTATTGATGGTTATAAGCTACCAGGTGGGTGCTGGGACTTCAACCTGTGAAAGAGCAGCCAGTGCTCTTAACTGCTGAGTCATCACTCCAGCCCACTACTTAATTTTTAGAATGAGCATAGTGGCTTTAGTACATATGAAGTGGTCCAGGCCCTGCTTCAAAATAATACAATAGGAGGGAGAGCTGGGCAGGGAACAGCTGAACTGTGACTGGTGGTGAATGGCTGGCATAGGATTATGGGTATTTGGAAGCTGAACATTTGAAAATTTCCATATCAAAAGATCTAAAAATATATGTCCAGAATGTGACATGCCCCTACTATTTCTAACATTCTTCTATTTTCCATTTTCAGCCTCATCCAAGTCACCCACCTCCCACTCACCACCTGCTCTCCTGCTCCAGCCTTGTCCTCTCTGGTGCCTGTCCACTACACTGCAGGAAGAGTGGTGCTCTTGAAAGCACCAGATGTTTTTCCTTTCTGTGCAAGGCCTGCAAAGGGCCTCCCCTGGTTTGGGACTTTTGGCACCTCTCTGGCCATGTCCCCTTTCCCTCAATCCCTCCTCAGCTCCACCACAGTCCTGTGTGTCAGAAGAGAAACATCAACGCTGTGCTAAGGTCCACAGAGACCTACCGCGTGCCTTTGCTTCCTGTCCAGCAGGCTTACCCAAACACAGACTTTTGGAGCAGTTTACATCCACCCATGCTCCTTTATTCCAATCATACCAACATGGACCTGACCCTTAAGGTGGGGGCCCCCTCAGAACTTCTTTCTGCTCTCGTTTTGAACTCTTGGGAGCTCAGGCTCAATTTTCTAATTCTCTGTTGCTTTATCAGTCCCCTTCATGAGACTTAAGTACCTGGAACATACATGCTGCCTCTTATGTCTTTGTGGCCTAAGCCTTGATAAATTCACAATACTAAGAATTAAGCATATTAGGCATAGATGGATTTTTCTTTGGGCCACCAGCTTACAAATAATGTGCACAGAGACTTAAGATGAAAAATTGGCCTTGGCTTAGGCTTGTCCCATTAGCTCTTATAACTTAATCTGTTTCTATTATTCTAGGTTTTATCGTGTGGCTTTTTTTTTGCCTTTTTTCATTCTATATATGTCTTACTCCCACACCTAGATTGCTCCTCCTACTTCCTCTCTCTGCCCGGAGTCCTGCCTATACCTCTTGCCTAGCTATTGGCTGTTCAGCTCTTTAACATACCAATCACAGCAATATATCTTCACAGTGTACAAATAGACTGCATTAAGGTCCACCTGTAGTCACGGCATGTGAGGAGTGGAAGAGGGAGGATCTTGGACTTGAGGCAAGCCTGGGCCACATAGCCAGACTCTTTAAAAAAAATCAAAACCAAACCACAGCCAGAAAAGAACTCTATATGTTAGCATTGATGCAGCTTTTTTAAAATCCCTACCTACAAAAGTTTTTTATGTTAGACAAACAATACCTACACTATACTCATAAGGCATAACTTTTATCAGAAGACTAACCTTGATTTAGATAGAAATGTTTAATGGAAACATTAAAAATATTTGTGTGTGTGTGTGTGTAGGTCTGAGGGCAAGCTGTGGGAGTCAGTTCTCTCCTTCCCCCTGGTGGGTCTCAGGGATTAAACCCAGTTGTTAGACTTTCACCAGCTGAGCCATCTCCTTGGCCCACGATAACATTTAATATAGAATTTTTATCTTTGCTATCACTAAATAATAAATATAGCATTTCTAATATTACTAGGATTTCCTTCCATTGTCTATAATTGGAGAGATTACTGCATGCTAACATACCTGTTCAGTTACCATATTTATTGAAGAATTAAGGCCAAGGGGTGCAAACTAGGAAGGGAAAAAGAAGCTGTATCCAGAAGGAAAAGTAAAAGATAACCAGGGCTTGGTGAGAGGGAGGGTAAAAAGTCCTCAGATATGGACAAAATCCAAACTGGAAGTGCCCTTGCCTCTGCAAAGAGAGCGATGGGCAATGGAGTGAAGTCATTATCACCAACGTGGTGACTGAAAGGTGAACTTTTAAAATACATACCAATGATGTTGCCTCACTTGACTAGTTTTCAAATGCTTTTAATGTGAGTACTTTCTTAATTGCTACTAGCTCTTACCTTTTGAGACAGGGTCTCTCTGAATAGCCCTGGTTGTCCTGGAACTCACTCTGTAGACCAGGCTGGACACAAACTCACAGAAATCCACCTGCCTCTGCCTCCCTGCTAGGATAAAAGGTATGCACCACCATGCCTGGCTACAAAGCTCTTTCACTATTTAAAATGTTCTCAACGCCCGGCCTACTGGTGTTTTTAAAAATCTGAATTTCTTTGCTTGTGTTGGTGGATTATATTCTCTGACCCTCAGAAATCCCTTCCCCCATTTCCCTTTATGACTGACTGCACTTGCCACAAGACGATCAGCTAAGGTAGAAATACAGTTTCTGACAATGGAACATTTTTCTTTATGTGCAAGATTACCAACTGATAGTGGCATGAAATTATAACTTCACTTCATTGTCTAAAAAAAAACAGGCAAGATAGACACTATGGAAGCAGGTTTTAGGGGGCAATATCCCTAGGCCACAAGAGCAACTAAAGACATACGGCACCGAGTTAGACACAGCCTCCTTCGGCCACTCTACAAAACTCTTTCGAATGTTCCAAAGCTGTCTGACTTTGTCTTGTCCCCTTACTCTCCAGTTTATTATAAGCATCTTTACTGAAAGGGCTGAAGAAGTTCAAACATACAGACTTTGGAATCAGGCAAACCATATCCTGTTTAGCTGTGGGACTGTCTCGAATTCACCACAAAACAGATAATGGGGTTCTCTTCAGAACTGGAGTTGATAATGAATGCCTCGATCCAAAGACAATGCTAAGTGCAGTGAATATAATGTGTTCTCTGTGAGAACAGAATACTTCCAAGTGAGTATTTCACTCTGAGGTACCATTATCACATTAGGCTTACTCCAACAGTTCAACAGAGCAGTCAATGTCTCTCATTCAGTTTCTTTGTTGGTTCCAGGCATTCTGGCTGGCCTGGAACTCATTATGTAGACCAGGTGGCTTCAGACTCAGAGATCTCTGTCTGCCTCTGCCTCCTGATTGCTGGGATTTAAGGCATTTAGTATCACAGTTTATAAGTCCTAAGCATGTAGGTTCCATGAAATGTAAGCAAGGAAACGATTACATGAACGAGTATTGTGTGTAACAAAGCCGTGACGCACAAAGATGAAATAGCTGCACAGAAGAATTAACACTAAGACATTTAAAAAGAGACTTAATGTAGGAATACGCTATTTTAATCAAGCAAAACAAATTTATATTTATTATTTCTAAAAATAAAATTAAACCTTTCCAATCCTTAACATCTGCATTTAATAATATCTTCTAACCAAAATACAGATGCTAAAACAGCAAATTACAATATATCTTGTACAACATACAGTATGCTCATTGTTCACACTTTAATTCTACTTGGTCGTTATGTACTTAATGCATACTTAAACACCACTCATAACATTTTCACAATCAACAAAAAATGTAACCAGTTGTTTTAAAATGGCTCTGCTATAAATTGTATAGAATATACAGAATTACAAAGTCAAGTATTATATCAAAATATACACCCCTCCCTGAAACTAACACAAGCTATCAACATTTTAAATGAATAACACAATTATAGAAAATATTTGCAAAATTATTTTTATGTATAAATATTCTGCCATATTTACTTTGGTCTAGAATTATCAGCATACAAGTCCACTTAAAAAATATCCACATATAACGCCGGGAGACATCAGTACATATAATTTTATATTTGTAGTTAAATCAAAACAACTTAAATACATAACTGATTGCTTTAATATCATAACTGAGATTAAAACAAATTAGTGGATCACAGGATTGCTTGTCATCTAATTATTAATTTAAGAGTGATTTTCATAAGCCCTTTGTGACTACCTCCTTAATAAAACACACGTGAATGGTGTGGGTGTACATATATACAATGGATAAAATAAAGATGAATTTACTTGTATTTCCCCATTTCCTCTAGTATATAACACTGTATGTAGGAGGAAGCAGGTGAACAAATGATAAATGCAGATACAATATTGGAGTTGCTTAACAACTACAGTATAAAAAGGTCACCTTGAATCATGTCCTTTTTCCTGGGTGTTTAAATGTTTTCTTGCCTACCCCAAACCACACTAAATCTTCTTCATGGAGATACCAACACACATGTAGCAACCAAATGGAGTCCTCTGAACTACTTCTTCATAATGATAACTTTCCAGCCTTGGATTTCCAGCTACCAAATCCAGTGAACAGGAATGGCTGCTGGCCACTGTTGAACTGATGTGAAGTTTGCTCATACTGGTGACTGAAGGAAGGGTAGGAATGTGCTCTCCCTCCCTCCTACCATGGCAGTTTTAACAGTAAGAATCATGAGTTCCAGCTTCCAGAATCCTAGTTCACATAAGGATATCCTGAAGGGCAAATAGACTTTTGAGGACAGTTTTCATCAATATAAAAAACCGACTTACAAATATGAGGCTTTACCGAGGGAGCTAGATGTCTGCAAACATAAAGACAGATATGTGGAGTCATATTAGTAAGGGGCAGAACCCTGTCCCTCCACATCTATCTCTCCATCCCTCAGAAACAATGCTGCTGTTTGAGGAATGGGAGGACACCACTTCCCCTTGTCCTCGTGTCATCAGTGGGGGTGGGGGCTTCTCTTGCCCTTTTAGCTAGTATGTACCTGTGGGCTGCATTATCTCCAAGAAGGTGTACAATTGAATTAGCCTTTTTGCTCTTTCCAAGTGCCTATAACTTCATTACCACAGAGGTATGTCTGGTACTCAACCTCTTGCATAATCCTTCATTAGAATGGGAGACATCAGGATTATTTGACCCTTTAAGTCTGAGTGGAATAGCCCCCGACATCCATGGCCTTGGGATGACTGGAAGACAGCAGAGAGTTCAGAAGAATTTGACCATTCTTCATTCTCTGAGGTGAGGCCATTGCAAAGTATTATACGGCATAGGTATCTCAGGTAAGTTGTGGGAAGGCTTTCCCATAGGTAAGGCATGACTTAGGTTTTGTGTGACTTGAGTAGACCAGTTCTAGTAACAGCTCAGCCATACTTTAAGAAAACAGCACAGTATTCCATCAAGAAGCACACGCACGTTCATTGGTCAGATTCCAAATGCTGTACTGATTTTGACACCAGTCCTCATTAACTGCAGGTCTATTGCTCATTACTCTCTACAAGGGACATGGACAGTTAAAAGCTACAGTGATTCATATATGTATTTTACAAGGATTAGGTTGCAGAAAAGTAGTTCTAGATATGTATGAATGTCCTACTTTAGGCTACCCATTACATATTTTCAGTTATATTGTTAAGCATTTTGTTAATACCCATTAATTGAAACAAAGATTAATAGTGCAGAAACTGGATGGGAATAAATACTGTCATAGCTCATTTAGCATTTAACACATCTCAAAGATTCCATTTTCAGTATTCTGACCCTTATTTTCTTCAGTGACTGATGACAGTTCAGCCGTCCTCATTAGCGCTCACCAGAAAGTTTTAAATTGGGCTAAAATTCAGCTGTTTTTTCTCACTGTTCAAAATACCACAGCTAAGAACTTCATTAGCGCCCGGCGGTGGTGGCGCACGCCTTTAATCCCAGCACTCAGGAGGCAGAGGCAGAGGCAGGCGGATCTCTGTGAGTTCGAGGCCGGGCTGGACCGACAGCCTCCAAAACAATACAGAGAAACCCTGTCTCGTAAAACAAAACAAAACAAAAAAAACAAAAACAACAAACAAACAAAAAAACTTCATTAGCTGTCACAAAATACTTGAGTCCTTGGAGAATTACAGCTATTTTGTTTATATGCACTCTGTGTGAAGTGGATGATAAAAACCAAAGTAGGTATTAGGATCCTTTTTTTTTTCTTTCTTTCTTTTTTTTTTTTTGAGTTTACACAAATGAGAATTAACTCCTCCCACTCCTTTGTGACTATTAAGTGAACAAAACTAAACTTAAAAAAACTAAAAGAAAACCCAAAAAAACAAACTCACAAACAACTTTTTGAAGACTTGTCTAACTGTTGTCACTCAACACTTTTAGCAAAGGTTTGTATATCATCCTTTTGGTCGCTGTCTTCCGAATCAGTGCAAAGTTGATTCTCCAAGAGATCTGAGTTTTCATGGCACATGTCACCTGTTTTCTCCTGCTTAGTTAAGGTCTTGAATAAATGTTTCTTTTGGTGCATTCTGAGGGCAGCAGCTGTTTTGCATATTTTGGGGCACTGGAAGCAAGCAAAGCCTTTCCCATCATGCTCCCGAACATGCCTCCGCTCATGATTCCGTTTTGTGGAAAGATACAAAAAACCCTGAAAGCAGAACTGACAGTGGTAACGTTTCTCTCCCGTGTGGATTCTTTCGTGGATTTTGAGAGTCTCGTTCAGTGTGAATGCCTTGTTACAATACTGACAGATGAACTCCTTCACACCCAGGTGGATGCGCTCGTGTTTCTGTAAGTTTCCTTGCACGGAGAAGCACCGCCCACAGGTCTTGCATTGGTATGGCTTCTCTCCAGTATGGCATCGCATGTGCATCTTGAGCGTGGAGGGGCTCTGGAACTGCTTTTCGCAAAGCTCGCAGATATAAGGCTTCAACGTGAGATGGTGGTGGGGCTTGCCTTCGGCCTCCACTCCCGCTGCTTTGTCGCCATCACAGAGCTCACACTGTAGCTTGGGCATTTCTTTATTTTCTTCTTCTTCAGAAGCCTTATCCGGACGTGGCTTCACCTCTGCACGATCCAGTTCCGCTGGGTATCTGCACCTACCGCTGGGGCTTCTGCCCCCGTGCTCCTTCCGCCACTTGACTTTTCTCATCTTTCTCAACTGTTTGGATTTCTTCTTGGGTTTGTAGTTGTAGTATGGGCGCCACGGCTTATCAGTGGAATCCTGGTCACTCACGTCATCAAATGCTTCACTCATCTCTACGCATTCAGCCTGGCAAAGCCCAAAGGGGCTGTCCCCATGGGTTTCTGGGTCACTCTCCTGAGGCAATGTCTCCTCCTGCATTTGATACTTGGGTTTCCTCCCTCTTTTGTAAAACAGCTTCGACCCAAGGATATGCCTTTTCACAATGGCTTCATTCCCAATTTTCACTGTTATCTGGCAAAGGGGTGCGACACTGCTATTTGTGGAGGTGCCAGGCAGAGCAGGTTTTGCAATATAAGTTTCAGTTTTACTGGTTTCTTCAACGGCATTTGTGGTTTTGCCCAAAGACCCTCCATGGTCAGCAATGTGTTCTGCCTCCTCTGCTATTTCTCCCCTGTTTAATGGGATAGCTTTCTTTTTCTCCTTGATGCCTTTGGGTCTGCTTGCAAGTTTACTGGTTTTATCTGCCTCAGGCTTGCTGTCCTCTTTCATGGATGGACTGACGACTGGTTGTGAAGGGATCGTGTCATTGCTGCTTGTCAGGGCAGCAACTGTATTGCTGTGCTTAATCACCGATGAAAACTGGCTGCTGTGCACAATGACAGAGGGCACCGAGCCACTGTAGCTGATCACAGAGGCTGACTGCTCACCACCCCCACCCATGGGTGTACCATGTGTGGGCTCTGCCTGGAGACTGGCAGCGATGGTGGAAGACACTGACATCTCAGTTGAATCAAAGTTATTGACACGATCAGTTTTCAATGCCTCCTTTTTCCATTTGATGCCTTCTGCATTTTTTACTTTGGCGGAAGTGGGTGTGCCCTGATGTGAAGGTGTTTCTACTGGGATGGCGGGGCTGCTGGTCAAGGTGTTTCTGCCATCTTGGAAGTTCAATGTGGGCATTTCAGAGCTTTGCAAATTTGGAATAACAAATGTATTGGGTGCAGACTCACTCCTTTGACTGTTTCCTCGAGAACTCTCGTAGGAAGAATTTCGGAAGCTCTTATAAGGTGCCCTTTTGCATCTCATAGGCAAGAGTCTGTAAAGTTTATATGGATAGACAGTAGGCTTTAAGCCTCCATTTGCAGTTTTTTTACTGATGGAGAGTCTGTGGTCTATGGCATGAAAAGACTTCTGATGGTTTTTTAGTATGTAGTAGGTCATAAAAGTTTCGAGACAAAATATGCATTGGTACCGCCTCTCTCCAGTGTGCCAGATCTCATGTCGTGTCCTGTACTCAGCCAGTGCAAAGACCTTGTTGCAGTAATGGCAAGGGTATGTTCTTCTCCATGAGTGAACGTTTGCATGCCTTCTGAGACTGGATAAAGTCACATAACTACGTTTGCACACAATGCAACTATAGAGCATCTGCCCATTCACAAATTTCACTATGTGGTCCGCGTCTGGCAAGGCACTCCCAGCGCTGGAAAGTTCACCAATCCTATTTTCAGGTACTAAGGATTCTGGACTTGTGAACGAACTTCCATTTTGTCCAATCGTGGGGTAGTTTTCTAAAAACTGTTGGTTTCCTCCTGGGACGGGCACGTGGCTAGATCTCATGCAGATGTGCTCATGCCGATCCAGCCTGTTGAGGGTGGTGAACTGCTTGTTGCAGTACTTGCATACAAAAGGCTCCTGGGTTGGCTTGTGGAGCTGCATGTGGGCACTGAGCAGTGTGCTGCTGTCAAAGGATTTGGAGCAACAGCTGCAATTATAGACAAGGGGCGGGACTTCCGCTGCTGTTGGGCCAGGAATATCAGAGGGTTGGTTTTCCTCTTCCCTGGGAAAATGAACATCTCCTTCCTTGCTGGGAGGTTTTGAGTGTGACAGAATTGGAGCTGGCTGTGGACTTCTTTCTTGATTAACCTCTGGGCTGGTTACTGGAAGCAGTGATGTCTTTTCTGGGGTTGAGTCAGAATCCTGGGGTTGGGTCTTTGGCTTTCGGCATGGCTTTACTTTTGTGGCAAGAGCTTCGCCATTTTCTTTTCCTGTTTTACCAGACAAACTGCTGTCATGTTCCCGTACAGGCTGACTTCTGTAAGCCTCGGTAATGGAAGAAACGGCATATGAATGTTCAGCAAGTGTGCGGACAGGCTCTGCCTCATGGCAGACATTGGTCCTCTCCTGGCAGAGACTGGGGGCTCTCATAGAATCAGACACTTTTTTGAAGTTTGCTCTCAAGTCCAGTGGAGAAAACATGTTATTACTATTTTCCGTTTCAATGATGGAAAATGCATTTGTGATCCTTGGCCCATTAGTAACAGCTGGTTCTTCATGCCTTTTTTCATTTTTTTCCTCTTTAACCACGCCCTTTTCAGTAATGCAGACTACATAGGGACCTGGGGAATTTGAGAAGTTGCGGTCACTAAGGTCTTCCAAGAATGATATTCCCAGCTTTTTTCCCGCAGCTGCAAGATCAGTGACAGTTTCCTGTCTCTTGACCACGACAGTGGAGCTGTAGATATAATTAAGTATCTCTGTAAACACTTCAGCTTTCAGGTCATCCAGCTCCAGGACATGGCTGGAAATACAGATCGTATGGCTCCAAAATATATTTTTGAAATAAAGGCTTGAGGCAGCCAAGACATTGCTGTGAGCTTTAAACTTGGTGTCTTCCACAATGATGGTGACATCGCATAAAATGCCCCGAATGCGCTGCTCATTTAAGATGGAGAGCACCGTGTCACTGTGGAAGTCGTCCTTGAGGTCCCTGGAGAGGGACATGACTGTCATCTGAAACAAGAAACAAACGGTCAGGGGGCTTCCATCAGTGACTTGTTCATTCCTAGGCTATTTGCTACTTTTGGGGAAAATTGTTTCTCTACATGTGAAAACATGGACTTTTATCTCATCCTGTTGTTTTTCCTGAGACTTGGAAGTCAACATTAGAAGCCTAACCTTCTCGCCCCAGACTGTTTCTCATGCCATTGCTAGTAGCTGTAGTTGGAAATCCTCCCAGGACTCCTTCTCCTGTCTTCTGTGAGGTCTTGGCTATGTGTGTGTGTCCAAATATGGGGAGGGCAAGTAGAAAGGGTCTCCCCACTCGAGGCCACCGCTCTGAGACTCTAGAGCTGATGGCATCATGTCTTTTAGAAGCTTCCTCTATTCATGTGACTTCTCCTAAGATAAGGTCTTACTATTATTTAGCCCTGACAAGCTTGCAACTTGTTATCTAGACAAAGCTGGCCTTGAATTCAGAGATCTACCTGCCCTGTCTTTGAAATCTCCTCCCCAACAGAGGGCCTGGGGCTTAAAGTCAGGCTATCACACATGCTAGGTGAGTCACATCCCAAGACCTGCCAGCCTGAAACTAGATATGTAGGCCAGACTGGCATTCAATTCACAGAGACAGGCCTGCCTCTGCTTCCTGAGTACTGGGAGTAAGGGTATGCATCAACACACCTGGCTATATTGGACAGTGTGTGTGTGTGTGTGTGTGTGTGTGTGTGTGTGTGTGTGTGTGTGTGTGTGTGTGTGTATGTGTGCGTGTGCGCTGCCGAGAATTGAATTCCTGGTCTCTACATGCTAATCAAAGGCTTTACCATTGAGCCATACCCCAAGCCTCTTTTTTTTTTTTTTTTTTTTTGGTTTTTACGAGACAGGGTTTCTCTGTATTGTTTTGGAGGCTATCGGTCCAGCCCAGCCTCGAACTCACAGAGATCCGCCTGCCTCTGCCTCCCGAGTGCTGGGATTAAAGGCATGCGCCACCACCGCCCGGCTACCCCAAGCCTCTTTTACATGTTTCAAAGATAGTCTTAATAATCTGATCCAAACATAACTCATAAAGCAGAAATAATTATTTTTAAGTTTCCTGTAAGTGAGTAGGTCCTTCATGTGAGGTATCTGCTCAGAGAAGCAGAAGGAATGGAAGGAGCCATTCTACCTCGTTTCTCTGATGACCTCTTCTGAGTTGCAGTGTGCGTGACTGAGTCTGACCACCAGGGACACCCGCCTCCTCTCCACACATGGCCTGCTGAGAATCAACCCACTCTTTGATTTCCCCTCTGTTAGAACCAGACTAGACTAGAGTTTTTAAAAATGAAGGCAAACAAAGATGGCAAGACACTAAACCAGGAAAGTGTGTTCCTCAGTCTATGCTAATGAGTCTCATCACTGCTTCCTACGTCAGAACCACTGAAAGGCATGGCGGCTCTTGGATGGTCCAAGGATGGGATGCATGCTGTATGCATGCCTTATTCTCTTTAGTTAGACTTGCTGGTGTTGTGAAAAATGTCCAAGAATCAATCCTTCAAAGGTTTTAGTTGACCTTGGAAGAGTGTGGCAGAGCAGGGCAGCTCACATGTGGTGGGAGGAGGAAGGCAGGGAAGGGAAGGAGAAGAGAGGGAGAAGAGAAGGCAAAGGAGCCCTGGCGAGCTGCTCCCCACCCCCTGCTTTTACTGTCTTCAAGCCCTTTCTGATACCTCCCGGACCATGCTTTACAAGTCTCCTCTATACTTCTCAACCTAATCAAGCTGACAATTAAGACAGACCACGCGTTCTTACACCACTGTGTGGGTGGGAGTGGCTGAATGATCTTGTCATTCTCTGTATGTTTTCCTGTGAACCTGGGATGTCCAGAGCCTACTGTCACACTAGTGACCAAAGCAGCAGCTTTCACATCTATCCACAGTAACCAATACACGGCACACAGTGACCTAAGACACAAATAAGATGGATACCCTAACTTCAGGTGATACAATCTGTTCTGTTCTAGGACTTCCACTTAAGAAAATGCAGACAGAAACTCACTATTCTCAGTCTCTGCTAACTCATCACCCTTGCATCTCAACGTGAAACAATACCCTGCTCTGACTGACAAGACATACAAGCATGCGTCCCCTATTTCAGCGTCCTGTGCCATCAGTATATGCAATCTCCAGGAAGCCATACAGCTCAGTATTTCTCTAACTGCCAGTGGCAATGTCTTGCTAGTTCTGGAGTATAGCATTTAGCTCATGACATCTATCTATTCAATTAGACAGACCAAACATCTGCACCAAAACTCCTCTTAATCTTTTTGTAAAGGGTCTGTTACAAGCTGGACCCCTTGTGCTATTTAACCTCCTTTATACAGCATCGTTTGATAAATTCTTGTATTGCTTTTGGTCACAGGGAAAGGGCACCTTCCTCTGAATTCTTCACTTTTCACAAGGAAACTACATACACGCTCACCAGCTTTAGTTCTCGAAACAAGGAAGCTAGGCTTTTGGTCATTTGCTGCAGCCATTCCTCTCTGGGGTTTGTGTTGTGACCATAGTTTTGGTTTCTTTATTTAACGTTAGTTCTTCTACTTTGCTTTGCCTTGTCTCTAACTTAATCTTTCATAAGTCTTTTCTGGAATTGTGGGAGAATTGTTTCTACCAGTGAAAATGGAGAGCATAAATATATACTATATCCTACAGGATCTACTTTCTTTCTTAAAAAGCAGGAAGGATTGGACAGCTTTGGAGTTGTCAGTGTGTGTGCTGTGGTGGGCATGTGAAGGTTAGAGGACAACTTTGTGGATTCTGGTCTCTCCAACCATCATTACACAGGTTGCAGGGACTGAACTCAGGTCAGTAGGCTTGCAGGGTAAACACCTTTGTGTGATTAGCCACCTCATCCAACCTTAAGTGGCTTTGTTACAACACCAGCAAAAGAGAGGAGGAGGAGGAGGCCATTCTCACCAACATCTTACATCTGATGTCTCTGACATCAGAGATGTAAGCACTTCCCAGCAAACCCTGCACATTTCTCCACAGAGAGTAACCTAAAACCGAAGTCAGAAGAGCCTCTGCAGATGGAAGGCCCACAACAGATCTCAGAACAGAAAGTCTAAGTCAGAAAGAAGATGAGTTCTAATTTACATGGAATTTCTAAAGTTTTTTCTAGAAACAGTTTCATGCAACAAGTTCACTATTCTTAGCAGTGCTACTGAGAAAAACTAGCGAAACATGAAAAGTCTAAAAAGGGTAGTTGGCTCAGCAGTAAAGAGCACCGGCTGCCTTTCCAGAGATCTCACGTTCGATTCCCAGCACCCACATGGTGGCTCACAACCATCTGTAACTCCAGTTCTGGGGAACCTGATACCCTCTTCTGACTCTGTGGGCACTAGATACACTCGTGGTACACAGGCATACATGCAGGCAAAGTACTCACACATATAAAATAAAAACATATTTTAAAAGGCTAATAAAAATGTTCTAGATATAAGAATTTTGGTGAACCAATATTAAAACAATCTGTAATTAGATAACTGTTAACACTTGGTCTATGTTACTGCTTTCCTGAGTCCCTGTGGCTTAAACTTTACCTATTACATTTATTAATGTGTATATGCTGTTTGGGTGTGGGAGGAGGCATCCACATGTATCAGCATACACATGCAGGTACGAGGACAACTTTGTGGAGTCATCTCTTCTCTTCACTCTCAAGGGCTCCAGGGATTGAACTCAGGTCATCAGGCTTGCCCGACAAGTGCCTTTATCTGTTGAGCCATCTGTATTTTAACCAGAATAGCTTTTAAAAAGGTCTTTTAAGTACATAAATACATATATGTATATAGACACGTGTATGTGTGAATACATGATAAATATATGAATATAATACACTTCTATTTATAAGTACAGATAGAGAAGTAGGTGAATAATTCAGCACCCAAAACAGGAACACTAGAGAGATTAAGGAAGTGTAATTAATAACTATGCCAAAGGAACAGCACATATTTGTAATTAATAACTATGCCAAAGGAATAGCACATACTGGGAATAGATCCCAAGAAGATGGTCATCTGTATTTACATACATGAATATGTAAACAGAATATATAGCTCTATAAAATTCAACACAAAAATTATGTGTGTTTTAACAAAATGTGAGTATGTAGTTGTCACAGGAGAATTCTAGTTAATCAGCATATTTTGACTTTTCAGCTGGTTTTACACCACACACTCTCCTGCTCTACAGAGTAAACACATATACATATAGTACAAACACGGGCACATAAGTTAGATACTTCCAATGACTAACATGACTTTGTAAGACCAGGTGTCTTGGTGCACACTTGTAATCCCAGCACTTGGGAGGCTGAGACAAGAAGACCACAAATTCAAGGTCAATCTGGGTTACATGCATCACACTTTCTAAAAATAGATAGAACTGGGCAGTGGTGGTACACTCCTGTAATCCCAGCACTTGGAAGGATGAGGCAATGAGACCATAAATTTAAGGCCACCCTTTAAAAATTGAGCTGGCTGATGGTGGTGGCGCACACCTTTGATTCCTGCACTCAGGAGGCAGATGGATCTTTGTGAGTTCGAGGCCAGCAGGTCTAAAAAGTAAGTTCCAGAACTGCCAGGGTTATTACACAGAGAAACCTTGTCTTGCCCCCCACCCCCGCAAAAGGGAGATATAACAATGCTGATGACGTTTATGATGAGCAGAGAGCACTTTAAGCAAATGTCTTATTTGCATATTGTGCAAACAGAACTACCTGAGTTAGAGCCTTAAAAATCAGAACAAAGCAAGCCCAATTCTGCTTAACCAGGAGCAAAAGAAAGAGGAAAATAAAAATTAGTTTTTGCCAGTTTTATTCCTGTGTTCTTTAGGCTGGCAGTTTTAAAGTGTTTCAAGGGCCTCTGGGTTTCCAAATACATTTTCTAGATTTGTGAGGTCAAAGCTACTTTTGTAAGTGATATAGAGATACTATTTTTTGTGTGTTTTAGTGTGTGCAAAGCATAGGATGGTGCAGTGGCA